CTAAAACTCTATATTTGAGTTTGAGGTTTAAGGAGAACTTTCAGAATTGGGGAAGAGATATATAGATAATTGGAGTATATGTGCAAAGGAACACCTGCTTTTCAAACACACGTTGGTTCTCAAAGTGGTTTTTAAGGGGGTGGGGGTTTTTGCTGTCAAGTTGCAGCCAACTTACAGCCACTTTGTAGGGTTTCCAAGGCAAGAGACATTCAGAGGTGGTTTGCCATGGCCTGCCTCTGCACAGCAACCCTGGTTCTTGGTCTCCCATCGAATACTGACCAGGGCCAACCCTGCTTAGCTTCTGAGAACTGACAAGATTGGGCTAGCCTGGGCCATGCATAGCAGGGTGGTTTTAAGTATAAACATAAACATTTTCTTGGCAAAAGAACTCTTATTGTCTGGGTCTTTTCCTTCCAGTCAATCAATGTCTGTTGGAAACAGTGGTCCCAAGATTCTTTTAGTTGAGGATGGATCCAGGGACATGGAGTGGTGCCTACCTGCTTCTTGCTGTTTCTCTAATGACCTTCCCCTAGGTTCCCCTCCCCAAGTTTTAAGAATGTCTGCAAAAGGGTTTACACCAAAAATACAGAGTGCCATTCCATTTTTTTCAATGTTTATTAAGATCAAGTCTAACTTATAACATGTACAATAACTGCAAAACAGTACACAAAAGTCCTGCCATTCCATGAAGAATGCCAGTCCAATCCTAAAAAGGCTGGACCTGCTGGACCTATCCTCCAACCACATCTCACTGGGAGGCCAGGCACATGTAGCATTTTAGGGTAACATTCGTATTGGGGGCTCCAGCATGTCTTTCTCATAACAGTTAAGCCCCTTTTCTTGGTTCCTGCAGATCGACCTTAAGAAAGAGAAGCAGGTGACCGGGGTCATCACGCAGGGGGCTCGTGACTTCGGGCACATTCAGTACGTGGCTGCCTACAAGGTGGCCTATAGCAGTGATGGCAAGTCCTGGACTCTTTACAGGAACAGCGGAACGAATAGCACACAGGTACGTAGGAAGAAACCTCCTGAGTCAGCTGATTGGCCCATCTGCATTGGCTCTCCCCGGTGCCTCATTCCAAACATTTTCTACCTGGACCCTGCTGAAGCAGAGGTGCCAGGGTTGGCGGTGCAAGGGAGTTGCCTCAGTCAGAATACTGGGCCAGGAGTTGTGTGGTCTTGGGTTCAAATCCCTGCTGAGCCGGTTGAAATTCTCTGGGTGGCTTTCAGCCAGATCTCCCTCACAGGGTGGTTGTGGGGCTAAAATGGGAGAAAGGAGAACTATGTATGCTGCTTCTTGGATAAGAAGTATGTTGAAAGTGCTCTGGATGGGTAGCCAAGGTCTATCATCACTACATCATTCTTACCTTTTAAAAATGAAAGCTATCACAGCCCTGTAAAGTAGGCCAATCCGCTTTCTTGCCATGCTGTAGGGCTTCCCCCTTTTGTCTCTTCTAACAGTGCCGCCTTGTTTTATTCACCCTACAGATATTTGAAGGTAACTCCGACAACTACTCGCATAAGAAGAATGTGTTTGACGTGCCCTTCTATGCCCGCTTTGTTCGCATCCTCCCTGAATCTTGGCACAACCGCATCACGTTGCGTGTAGAGCTGCTGGGCTGCGATGAGTAGGCCTTCCCTTGGCCCGGAACTGTGAAGTGGAGAGCCAGACTGATGTTTTCTTGTCCTTTCCCTGGACCTGCATGCTTGCTGTTGCAGCATCTTTTCTGCCACGTTGTGCCCCAGGGAAGCGTTGACGCGACTTCTGTGCCGCGTGGGGCCAGGGCACGGGGAGCATTGTCTGGCTGGGGTCAGAGCCAGCCGCTCTCAGAAACCAAGGGTCTTCTTGCTTCCCCTTTCCTTTTTTGTCCCTGCCTTCCTGGTTTTGCATCTGTTTGCAAGCCCCACATGATGGCACCAATACAGTTGTGGGGGGGCCACCCTCTTTACACCGCCATGCTGTGATCCCCTCACTTCCTGAGGCTCTCCAGCAATGCACTTTAAGAGCTGCTCTGTGCAGTTGTCAGTCTTTCATCGCGAGGAACTCTGGGAACTGTAGAGCTGGGAGCTGGGGCTCTTAAGCAGAGAGGTCTTGGCACCTTCATAAAACCACAGCTCCCAGGAAGTCTTTGGAGGAAGCCATGTTGCTGAAGCTGGTTTAAAATGAATACATGTTTGTAGTCTAGATGCAGCCTAGGATGCAAATGGATCAGTGTGCACACTGTACTTTAAGCCGAATGTTGTAGTAGTAATCTTTTTGCCATTGGCGCAGATTTGCATAGTTTTACATGACTTATTCTGTTATCAGAAGGAGGAGCAAGAAGCTGTTCAGGACACCTAAATATCCCTCCCTTCTTTTCCCTCATGAGACTTCACCAACTGTTGCATGCCCACTTTCAAACTTGTTTTTCCTTCCTTAAGGCCTAGAAACTGGCTTTTTAACAGTGAAGACTGAATTCTTCACATTTGTGTTTGACGGGATCCACACAGTCTCACTCATGGCCCCCTTTCCCTTTGCTAAGGTTTCTCAAGATACCAGATAGTAGAGATTCAGGGCGTGCCTGTTTTGGTTCACTTGGGAATGGCCCCAGCCCACCTGTAGTCGGAAAAACAACTGCACTTCTGCCCACACGGCTTTGTTTTCTGCCACAGCATCCTACAAAAGGGCCTCTTGGTCAGGCACGCCTAGTGCATGGTGTAGAGCGTTGCGATGCCAAAATTGGGAAGAAAGGATCAATTTTGAAAATAACAATGCAGAATGTCCCTTTGGCAGGGTGGGGGTGTGCACATGGGGTGGGTATACAGCTCATCTTGCAGCCAGAGGAGCCTAACTGAAGGGGCTTCAGTGCAATGGGGGGGGGGGCACACTGTCTGAGCTCTGGGCAATTAACTCGGAACAATGACAAAAATAAAAGTCCTAGGAAAAGCCAGAGACTGTGGTGATCATGACTTCCCAGCAGGGAGCAGTGTGTGTAAACCTCTGTGGTATTAAAAATGCTTCATGGGCTCTGTTTTTCCACTATCTCATTCTGCCCATTTAACAGTAGAGCAGTTTGGTCAGCACAGGGTGGCTTCTTTCCATGCTGTTTGGCCCAAGAGGGCAGAAGACTCCCCCTCCCCACGTAACATGGCTCTCCAGTGAGGCAGCCATGTGAAGAAAGGTGATTCTCCCACAGTATCTAACGGATCTCTGTGAGCTAACAGGTTCTCCATGCAGAACCCCAGTGTGTATGCAAAAGTTGCCTGTCCCTGAACTGTGGTTAAGGATTTGCATGAATGGGCCACAGCCCACCCACCCCAAAGCCTGCTTGCCTTGGACACAGATTGCTGCTGCTGTGCTTAGCCAGAGAGTCAAGCTTTTTTAAAAACCCTATGTTTAATATTAAGCCCTCATTACTGTTAAGGTTATGAGGAGCTGCGGTGGCTTAAGTGGCTAAGACGCTGAACTGCAGGCTGTGGAAGGTTGGTAGTTCAGCACTTTGAGACCCGAGTGCCGCATGACGGCTCCCGTCTCTAGTTCCAGCTCCTGCCAACCTAGCAGTTCGAAAGCAACAAATACCACTTCGGTGGGAAGGTAACAGCGTTCCGTGCGCCTTGGTGTTTAGTCACGCCGGCCACATGACCACGGAAACGCCTTCGGACAGCGCTGGCTCTTCGGCTTTGAAATGGAGATGAGCACCGCAACCCTAGAGTCGGACTCAACTGCCTTTCGAGCAAGGGAACCTTTACTTTTACTGTTAAGGTTAGGACTGGCACTGATCTGTATCTGACAGTAAAAGGGAACAGAATGTGTATAGCAGAGGATAGAAAAGCAGGGACCGGGTGTCTGTGACTCTAGAGCCTGTCCCCAATCCCCTGAAGTCTGGTTAGTGGAGAGGGTGCACCAGCCTATGACTGAAACTGATTGAGAGCTGCTACATCTAGCGTTATTTCTTTCCTGTCTTCCTGCCAAGGAGTTCAGGGTCACATGCCTTGGTCTCCCCCATTTTATTCTCACAACAACGCTGCAAGGTAGGTTAGAGAGCATGTGACTGGGCTGAGGGGTCCCCTATCCCACATGACGGAGTAGGGCTGGCAATACAGTTTCCCAGATCCTAATCTGTCACTTTGACCACTACACTATGGTTGGCTCCAGGTGCTCAAGCTAGATTTGATTAAGTTTATTCCAGTTTCCTGCCCTGGAGGAAACCAGCAACCTTGTTGGCTTTTGGGGATGGATGTAGTGATGGTGAAGTCTAAAGTGTGCTCTTACATTATCTTGCCACTTCCTCCTTTGGAGCTCTCCTTTATAGGTCTGTTTTCCATCCTAACCGACAGCAGCCACGCATGCATACACTTGATTGCCATCTGCACTTCCTCTTTCTGTCTACCTTTCCTCTTTGAGAACCTCTTTTTTTCCTTTTCCAGTGATGGCTTTGTGCCTTTATTGCACTTGCAATTATTGTGATCACCTGTGTGCTCTTTGCCGAGTTTCTTTCAACAGAACCTGAGAGCCTTGCTGGATCTTGCTGCAGCTGACATAATGCCCTTGAAGGTCTGCAGTCAGGCACAACAGCCAAATCCTCCATGGGGGGATGACCCCCATCAAGCTAGAAGGATTCAACCTTCATGCCTAATAGTCACTGACAGACCTGTGCTCCCTCATGAATCTGTCTAAGCCCCTTTTCAAGCTGTCTCAGTTATTGGCCATCACTACATCCTGAGTTCCACAGGCTGTTTGGAAGACTACTGCTTGTTTGGTGGTGGAAAGTGCTGTCAAAGTACAGCTGACTTATGGTGATTTCGTAAGGTTTTCAAAGCGAGACATGTTGAGAAGTGGCTTGCTATTGCCTGCCTCTCGTCATGACCCTGGTATTCCTCGGAGGTCTCCCGTCCAAATACTGGCCAGGGCTTACCCTGCTTGGTTTCTGAGACCTGGCAAGATCAGCTAGGCTGCACTATCCAGGCCAGGGGTACTGTTTGTATACCTGCCAGGTTTCCATGATGAGGCCAAAAGCAGCTTGGGGTCAGTGTTCCCTCTAAACTGAGCTAGTGTCAGTTTTTTAGCCTCCGGCTCACACATTTTTGTCCTAGCTCAGGAAGGATGGCTCCAGAGCAAACTAATTTATGCAGTAACCAGATTTCTCACTCACAACTTGAATGCCAGTAGCCCACACAAAGCAGAATTTTTGCTCACAAGACTCCACAGCTTAGAGGGAGCATTGCTAGGGATGGTGATTTTCAATAGAAAAACAGGGCAACAGGAAGGGTTGAGTAAAGGTCTCTTCTCATTATGGCCTTCCATGTGAAATGGGAATCTGGCAGCTGTACAGTATCAATTGAAGCAAAAGTTAAAAGGATCTTGGAACTCCGTGTGACATCTAGCTCTGTTCTGGCACCCAGCTACTGAATGGCACTGTTGAGTGTATGGCTGGAAAACGTGTGACATGAATGAAGGCAAACTGCAAGCCCTCTCCACCATGGCTCTGCTTGGACTAAAATGGCCAGCTTTTAATTTTTTCCATTGAGCTGTTTTTCCTGGCAGGGAAGTCTGGGGATGGGGGGGAATCACTACCTTGATTGGGGAGGGGAGCTTATAAGAGAAGAAAGAATATTCAGAGACATGGCACAGCTGCTTCTTCACCACCAGCAGGAGCCCAGCTTTGCAGAGTGGAGGACAGGCTTACAGTCTAAGAAGCTGGCTTACAGTCTAAGAAGGCTTACAGTCTAAGAAGCCTGCTATCAGTGTTGGGCCTGCTTTCCCTGTGCTTCAAGTGGGTTGCCTTTTTCAAAAAGGACCACACATCTGTTTAATCAGCCTCCTCCTCTAAAAATCAGAAATGTTTTAATGTTTTGAAATAACTCCAAGGATTCTGGGGAGAGAGCGTTGTTGACATTACTAGTGCTAGCCAATTGACCACAGCTAGCTTTTACTGAAAGCAGGGCATCCCACCTCTCAGATTCAACCTCTGGAGAGGGGGGAAAGTCCATTTATGTTGAATATTGCAAGATAACTTGAATCCAGGTCTCCCTGATTTACTCTACTAGAAATGTTATTGCTTGCTCTACCATCCTCAAGAGCACCATGTTTTGAGGCCTGGGATTACACCCCTAACTCATTCCAGCTGCAGTTTTCTTTGGAGATGCCTGGGGAGGACTTTGAGCAGAGGTGTCAGCTGGAGGGGGAAATTCCTTCCCGCTTCAGAAGCTGTAGCCATCCAGAAGGTTTCGATTGACTTTTGAGCAAGGCATGTGCCAGGCCTGGGGGTGGGTGGTAACAGCACAGTTGTAAGGAGAAGGAAATGTGGGATGGCAGGGGGTGAGCAGGGGGAATCCACTGGAACAAGAAGTGTGCCCATTTGCATCCCTAAATGGTCCGGGGGGGCCTTTTTGCTTCCACTGCTTTGCTGATCTGGAGAGGCGGGAGTGTACCTTTCTTTGGCTATGTATTGATCTGCTTTTCTGATCAGCCCTGAATGTCCTGAAGATCCAGCAGCATATGGCTCTGCATACCTGTTCATGCTTGGATATAGCTTCAGAAATCAGCAATGAGGCTTTCAATCTGCGTTAGGGCTGTGATACCAATAATGGAGGGGTTTAACCCCTCCACTCACCTTACATACTGCCTCTCTTAGTTGGAGGTGCCTCCCCTAACTGCTTTCCAGGAGGGGGAAAAAGACAGGCGTAGTGTAAGTGCCTGTCTTTTTCTCTCTTGGGCCTTAAAGCCATGGAGGATGACCATTCCGGACAAGGAAAGAGTTAAAGAGTTCCTCTGGTGCCACAGTCCCCAATTGTATCCCCTGCCTTCAGCCCCAGATTCCCCAGGATCAGGTGTCCTTTGGCTGTTAGCCACGCAATGAGGGTTAAATCTGGCTTTCCACTCGAATGGATCCAATCCACCCAGGAAGGCTAGCTTGAATTCTTTTGAAGAAGGAAGCCCCTTGACTCTCTCTGAATGGCAGCTTAAATTCCTCACCGCTTCTTAATAAAGCTGGCTGATGGCCTCACAGACAGATTGTGTCGTGGGCCAGGAGAATCAAAGTGAATTTCAGGGCTGGTTGAACAAGCACTGCCTGTTCTCGGGACCGGAGAGCCATTTCAGGAGAGATTTTTTTTTTAAAAAAAAATGGGAGTTTGGGGAGTGCTTTCACTTCATTTGGGTAATCAAACGGCCTGTATGGTTTATAGTTCAGCCATGCCCTCCGATTGCTTTCATTTGGCTCCAATTCAGGGTTTCTCTGGGAGTGAGCAGATTCTCTTCCCGTCTGTATGGGAAAATATTATGCCAGAAACACCTCCTCCCCCCCTCCCACGCAAAGCTCAGCTGCAGCTGTTTAACAGTGAAAGGTTTGAGGTTCCAGCCCCAGCGGGAGGACGGATCATCTCTTAATTGCCCTGTAGCTTCTTGTAAATTCTTCAGCCCTGGGGGTGTCTGAGACAGGCATGAGTATAATAAAAATCCCTGCCAAGGAGGTGGTGGTACAGCCCTGCCAGCTGGCAAAGCCCCACCCTATGAAGGATCACAGGAACTAATCCCCTCCCCATGATAAGCAAGTTGTTGTTCAGTCGCACAGTCGAGTCCAACTCTTCGCGACCCCATGGACCAGATCACGCCAGGCCCTCCTGTCTTCCGCTGTCCTCTGAAGCTTGCTCAATTTCATGTTTGTTGCATCGATGACACTGCCTAACCATCTCATCCTTTGCTGTCCCCGTCTTCTTTGACCTTCAGTCTTTCCCAGCATCAGGGTCTTCTCCAGGGAGTGCTCCCTTCTCATTTGGTGGACAAAGTATTTGAGCTTCAGCTTCAGTATCTGGCCTTCCTGGGAACAGTCAGGGTTGTTTTCTATTAGGATTGATCTCCTTGCAGTCCAAGGGACTCTCAAGAGTCTTCTCCAGCACCACAATTCAAAAGAATCTATTCTTCGGCGCTCAGCCTTCCTTATAGTCCAACTCTCGCAGCCATACATGACTACTGGGAATACCATTGCTTTGACCATGCGGGCTTTTGTTGGCAGGGTGATGTCTCTGCTTTCTATCATGCCGTTTAGGTTTGCCATTGCTTTCCTCCCAAGGAGCAGGTGTCTTTTAATTTCATGGCTGCAGTCACCATCTGCAGTGATGCAAGACTGTCAACCAATTAAAGATTTCTTTAAAAATACCTGATTAACTCATTGGGTTTCAGTTGACTAGTTAGCATCTTGAAAGTTTCATGCATTTATGTAATATTCATGTTCATATTCTCCAGGATCTCAAATGCAGGGGATTTTGATTTTTAATTTTTTAAATTTAATTAGTAATTTTTAAAACCCCAAAACTTATTTCATCAGATATGTGACACAGATCTGGCTGGCTTAAATCTGAGGATTTTCTGCTGGTGTTTCTGTTAAGCATTTTTTAAACCTCCTTAAACAATCTTGGGTTGTTATCATAAATGTATTTGATGCATTTG